TCAACTTTCCTGCTCCTCTGATGCTGCCTGGCCTGCTGTGTTCCTCCAGCTCCACACTGTGTTATCTCTGACTCCAGCATCGACAGTTCTTATTATATCTAAGAGCCCATGGTGTTAGGTACTGGCATGGAAAGAGGATTGGCTGACTGGCACAAGGCAGACAGTAGGGATAAAGGGGTATTTTTTCAGGATGGCAACCAGTAACACATGGTGTTCTGCAGGGGTCAGTGTTGGGACCACAACTATTCACATTATACGTTAACAATCTGGACGAAGGAATGGAGGGCAATGTTGCTAAATTCGCAGATGGCACAAAGATAGGTGGGAGGAGAGGTAGTATTGAGGAAGCAGGAAGGCTGCAGAAGGACTTGGACAGGCTGGGAGAGTGGGCAAAGAAGGGGCAATGGAATACAATGTTGGAAAGTGTGAGCTGGTGCACTTTGGTAGGAAGAATAGAGACGTAAACTATTTTCTAAATGGGGAAAGGCCTCAGAAATCATAAGCACAAAGAGACTTGAGAGTCCCAGTTCAGGATTCTCTTAAGGTTAACATGCAGGTTTAGTTGGCAGTCAGGAAGGCAACTGCAATGTTCACATTCATTTCAAGAAGGCTAGAATACAGGAGCAGGGATGTACTGCTGAAGCTGTACAAGGCTCTGATTAGACCACATTTGGAATATTGTGTACAATTTTGGGCCCTGTATCTAAGGAAGGAAGTACCTGCCTTGGAGGGGTTCCAGAGAAGGTTTACAAGAATAATCCCAGGAATGAAGGATCAGTCATATGAGGAGCTGTCGAGGATTGTGGGCCTGTACATGTTGGAGTTTAGAAGGACGGAGGGGATCTTATTGAAATTTGCAGAATACTGAAATACCTAGATAGAGTGGACATGGAGAATATGTTTCCACCAGTAGGAGATACTGGGGCCCGAGGGCATAGCCTCAGAGTGAAGGGGCAACCTTTTAGAACTGAGATGAGGAGGAATTTCTTCAGCCAGAGGGTGGTGAATCTGTGGATCTCATTGCCACAGAAGCTGTGGAGGCAAAGTCATTGAGTGTGTTTAAGACAGAGAAAGATAGGTTCTTGATTAGTAAGGGGATCAAGGGTTATGGGAAGAAGGCAGGAGAATAGGGTTGAGGAACATGTCAGCCATGATCGAATGGCAGAACAGACTTGATGTACCGAATGGCCTAATTCTGCTTCTATGTTTTATGGTCTTATGGTCTGCCATTCAATAAGATTGTGCCTGGTCTGATTATTCCATATTCCCACCAACCTCTGATATTTTTGCAATATTTTGAGTCTCACTCGAGTTCTTCTTGTCTAATCTAATAGGATTCAGGAGCATTTAAGCTCCTGAGTTTTGTGATTGCCAGCAGTGTGGGAAATATCAGCATCAGCAACCTCTCTGACCCAATCAGGATCCGAATTAAACACAGGCAGCATGAGGTATGATCAGTTTCCATCATCTACATCCCTGATAATACCATTAACTACAAGCTTAACTGAACCAGTCATAGAAATATTGTGCTTGAAATAACAGGTCAGAAATGTTGAATTTTCTAGTGAATGACCCAGCTCCTGTCTTCCCTCTCTATTCACCCTCTCTGCGAGGCACAAATCTATCATCCCTTGATGTTCAGTGGCTTTACCATCACTGAATTCCCCCAGTATCAACATCATGGGAGTTGCTGTTGACCAGATACTGAATTAGACTAGCCATATAAATACCATGGCTACAGGAACAGGTTGGAATCTAGGAATTCTACAGCGAGTAACTCGCCTCCTGTCTCCCCAAAGCTTGTCCCCCATCTACAAGGCACAAGTCAGGAGTGTGATGGAATACTCGCCACTTGCCTGGATGGGTGCAGCTCCAACAACACTCAAGAAGCTCAACACCATCCAGGACAAAGCAGCCAGCTAGATTGGCACTACATCCACAAGCATCCACTCCATCCACACACAGTGGCAGCAGAGTGTATTGTCTACAAAATGCCCTGCAGCAACACATCACCAAGGGGATGCAATGGCCTAGTGGTACTATCACTAGGGTGTGAATCCAGAGAACTAGGTGATGTTCTGGGGACCTTGGTTTGAATCCAGCCACAGCAAATGTTGGAATTTGAATTTGATCAAAAAAAAATTTTGGAATTAGGGATCTAATGATGACCGTCAATCCGTTGCTGGCAAAAACCCAACTGGGTCAATAATATTCTTTAGGAAAGGAAACTGCCACCCTTACCTGGTCTGGCCTTTATGTGACTCCAGACCCAAACACAATGTGGCTGATTCTTAAACTGGTCTCTGGGCAATTAGGGATGGGCAATAAAGGCTGGCCAAGATAGCCATGCCCCCATCCCATGAATGAATTAAAACAAAACCTTCCCAGCCTGAGACTTCTATTTTCCTGAAGGACAAGGGGCAGCAGATACAGTGGAGCAACACCATTTGCAAGTCCCCTGTAGTCACACAAGCAGGCTGACTTGGAACTGTATTGACCATGTATTGCTCGCTCCCTAACAGGAGCATTCAAAACACATGGGCTCTAATGGTTCAATAAGATGGCCCACCATCAACCTTTCATGGACAATTTAAATACTAGCCCTGCCAGTGACTCCCACATCCACACCCAAAAGATCTTTCCGTAGGTGACAACACTCAATCTTTATATACCATTGATATCAAAATGTTTTTTGCCAGTAATATTTTCCCCTTGATCTACTGAAGGTGTTGACGCCTATAATCTTACAGCACGGGGGATACCATTCTATCCATTACACTAGTGCTAGCTCTTCGTTAGGGCTGTTCCAAGTAGTCCCACTTCCCTGCCCATTCTACAGAAACCCCTTTCAATTTATGTAATTCCATTTTTTGAAAGCTATTATTGAATCTGCATCTATCACGCTTTCAGACACAATTTTCTTGATCACAACAACTTGCTTCATAAAGTAAAAGACCCTCTCATCTCCCCTCTGCTTCTTTTCCCGATATTACCTGATTGTGACCTCTGGTTACTGACACTCCTATCAATGGGACCAGTTTCTCCTTCCTTTCTTCATCAAAACCCTTTCATTGGTTTCAAACACTGCTTTTAATTCCAGCTCACAACCTTCTGTAAGAGGAACATGCTGCGGATTCAGTGCCAAGAATCATCAGGTTGTGTCGCTGTTGTCAATAGTCAATTCCAGGAGCTCGCCCTCACCACCTGTAGGATTTTAGCAATATTGCAGCATGCTATTGAGTTGTCAATTTGGAGTCTTCCGGCTGTAAAGCATTTATTGTAACGTTGCCTGAATTTTGCGGTGATTTGAGTTGGGACTGGGCTTTAAATTCTAATTTAGCACAGGCACCTATGTATACCCCACGCAACGCTCCCTATCTTCACTAATCTTTGCAGTAATTTCTGCCAATTCCATGTACCATTATTCCCATACCTCCCCTTCTCATATTCTATTGCTTTAGATATTTCAGCTTATCCAAAAACTCTGTTACTTATATTTTATCCTGCACTAAGTCTGTTGGGCTATCATACCATCATCACTAAGCCCCCTGTTGGCCTGCAATATTTTGTCATATAGTCATAGAATGATACAGCACGGTCCAACTCGTCCATGCTGACCAGATATCCTAAATTAATCTGGTCCTATTTTCCCAGCATTTGGCCCATATTCACCTACATCCTTCCTATTCATATACCCAATTAGATGCCTTTTAAATATTGTAATTGTACCGGCCTCCACCACTTCCTCTGGCAGTTCATTCCATACACGCACCACCCTCTGTGAGGAAAAAGTTGCCCCTTAGGTCCCTTTTATATCTTCCCCCTCTCACCTTAAACCTATGTCCTCTTGTTTTGGACTCCCCCACCTGGGACAAAAGTCCTTGAGTATTCACCCTACCCTCACCCCTCATGATTTTATAAACTCTATAAGTTTACCCCCTCAGCCTCCGACACTCCAGGGAAAATAGCCCCCGCCTATTCAGCCTTTCCCTGTAGCTCAAACCCTCCAACCCCAGCAACATCCTTGTAAATCCTTTCTGCACCCCTTTCAAATTTAGCAATATCTTTCCACTAGCAGGGAGACCAGAATGTTTATATATAAGATCATTGCCTTTCCATATCTCCCAGTGCTTCACTGCCAGAACCTTTCACTCATAGCTCCCTTGCATGTACTTCACCAGGGTGTAGACTTCAGTTTCATACCTTTGCTTTGAACATTCTCCTGGGATCTCTCCTATCTCTCTTCCAATGTTAAAATCCTCAAAACCCATTTTCCCACCCATGTCTCTGCATTGTCTCTTTATTGGCGTTTATTCCTGATGCATGTACTTAGAATTTTTCTTGTTAACATTAGAGGTTATTATTAGTTTTGTAATGGTATTCTGACATTGCTTGTAGGTTTGTGCCAGTTACTGAGACCAGACATCAAAACTCAATGCATTACCTGAGACACCCTGCATCTCAGCCCATATTAACCCTCCATTTGGCTGTTTTAATCGCTCTCCTTCATCCCTGGTCAATTTGATTCTCGTTCTTACAGAGGTTTATCACAGAATTGCAGAAGTGTTATGGTGCAAAAGAAGGCTATTCTACCCATCATGCCTGCAGTGGCTCATTAAATAAGCATCATTAGCTCATGCTAATCTCTGGTTTATTTCCCTATACTTTATACCTAACCAAGTAACCGTCCAATACCCCTCTGGAAAGCTTCAATTGGACTGGCCTCCACCACATTTCCAGGCAGTACATTCTACATCCTAACTACTCACTGAGTGGAAAAGTTTTTTTTTTCACTTCTCCCTTGCTTCTTTTGCACATTACTTTAAATGTGCACCTCACTCCCTCTTGTTCCTTTTGGAAGTGGGCTCTCCCTGTCAACTTTGTCCAGCCAGCTCACCATTTTGAAAACCTCTATCTCCTCTTAGCTTTCTTCTCCCCAAGTAAAACAGTCCCAACTTCTTCACTCTATCCTCATCACTGAAGTTTCTCCTTCCTGGAACCATTCTTGTGAATTGCTTCTGCACTCTCTCCAATGCGTACACATCTTTCCAATGATAGGGAGCCCACAGATGTACACAATACTCCAGTGGAGGTCTAACAAATATCTTGAACAAATTCAGCATCACCTCCTTGCTCTTGTGCTCTGTGCCCCTGTTAATAAAGCCAAGGAGACTGGCCTTGTTAATGTCTGTTGAGTGATTTCAATGGCACTGCGACACACCTCTTAGAAAAAGAAACCAGACATTTCCTCCCCCCATCTCACCCTTTATGTTCCATCCACACAAAGAAAACCCCAGGCCAGAGGCTGCATGTCCCATGGAGTGCTCCCCCATTTCGCTGAGTGCTCGGACATACTTGAAGTGACTCAGCTGGAGGAGTTCTGAGGAAATTCTCAGCAACTGTGCAGCAGTTAAGCAAGTCTCAGCCATGCCTCAGTGGATAGCAATCTCCTCCTTTTGTGTTGGGAGTTGGTTTGTTCTAGTCCCTGCCTTGGGCATGGAATCCATGATGGGAGCTCCAGTGCAGTACAGAGCGAATGCTGCACTGTTGGAGTCTTTATTCCACCAACATGGAGCAAACCCAGAGATCCAAAGAGAAGCAAAGGAGTTATCCCTGCTGATGTCCCGGTCAGTGTGTATATATCTCTCCAGAAATATCACTAAGTAGCACAATATCAGCTCACTATCAGATTGCTGTTTGTAGACGCTGTGTGTGTGTAGAAATAACAGGAGTTCATTTCATAGATAACAAAATAGAGCTGGAGGACCACAGCAGGTCAGGCAGCATCAGAGGAGCAGGAAAGCTGCCGTTTCAGGTCAGGACCCTTCTTCAGAAATGGAGAGGGGGAGGGGTCCCGACTCGAAACGTCAGCCTTCCTGCTCCTCTGATGCTGCCTGGCCTGCTGTGTTCCTCCAGCTCTACACCTTGTTATCACTGACTCCAGCATCTGCAGTCCTTGCTATCTCAGGAGTTCATTTCAATTGTTTGTAAAGCACTTTGGAGAACCTAAATTTTATAAGAGGCAGTTATAACATTACAAGTTCACTTCTGTAAAGAAAAATGATTTCCACTGTCATGTAAAAGGAAAGCCTCAGTCTCACTGACAGCTCATAGTCTTGCCTTTCTGCGTTCTTGTTGTTTGACAGGAGGATATTCAACCACAGTGTGCCTTCTGGGATTTAACATTGAAGAGTAAGTAAGATGTTTATATGTCATCATTTTGCAACCAATTGCTATGGACCAGCTTATCTTGAAGAACCACAGGTATTTTTCCAAAATAAGCCATCCCATAGCCAAGAATGGCATGATGGTTCACATTTCATCCTGTTTCATATCATCACCAACCGAGCTAACCAATCATCTCACTTGGTTTTGGTTTCTAATCAGCTTTTCCTCATTGGTTAATGTTCAGAGTTCCTGATCAGATGTTGAAATTAGAATCACTATGGTGTGGAAACCCTCTGATGAGCATCCCACCCAGACAAACACATCCCTGTAACCCTGCATTTTCTGTGACTATTCCACCTAGCCTGCACATCCCTAGACACTACGGATAATTTATCATGGCTAACCCCCACACATCCCTGGAAATTAGAGGATGATTCAGCATGATTGGTCCACCTAGCCTACACATCCTCGGACTGTGGGAGGGAACCCGGAGGAAAGCTACACAGACGCAGGGAGAATGTGCAAACTCTACACAGTTGCCCAAGGGTGGAATCGAAACCAGGTCCCTGGCGCTGTGAGGCAGCAGCGCTAACCACTGAGCCACCCTCTCCGTCTGATCTCAGATCATAACAATTACTCAACAAATAATAATCCAGTTCATCTGCCTCACCTTCTAATTCAGACAGGCTTAAGTGAGTAGGCAACAAAGTGAGTGTCAGATGGAACATTATATCGAGAATTGTGAAGCTATTCACTTTGGTGAGAAGAATTAAAAAGCAGACATTAAAAAAAATTGAAGCATTGAAATGTTAAGGTTCAGGAAGATTTGGGATATTCTTATACAAGGAAGACAGGAAACGTTAGCACAGAGGTACAGCAAATAATCGGAAAGGCAAATTGTGTTTAGGTCTTTATTACAAGGACAATGGAGTACAAAATGCTGCCTGCAGTTTTGACCTTATTTCTGTTTGATGCTTTATTCCTGTAGATGGCAGTGGGGGCTGGAATATTCGAGGTTGTCGAGTAGATTCAGATTCCAGTGTGAACGAAACTATTTGCTTGTGTGATCACCTCACACACTTTGGAGTCCTTCTGGTAAGCTTTCTCCCTGCAAAGAGTTAGTGAGAAGAGAACGAAAACCAATTGAATCCATAATGTCCTTTAATATTAGTGAGGGAACCACCTTTATCTGTTCTGGTCTGGGTACGTGACTTTCTTTTATTCACTCATGAAATGTGGGTATCGTTGGCTGGCCAGCATTTCTTGCCCATCCCTAGTTGCCCCTTTGAGAAGGTAGTGGTGAGCTGCCTTCTTGAACAGCTGCAGTCCATGTGCTCTCGATTGACCCACAATGCCCTTAGGGAGGGAATTCCAGGATTTTTACCCAGTAACAGTGAAGGAACGGTGATATATTTCCAAGTGACTTGGAGGGGAACTTCAGTCCTGCACAATGTGATTGACCCAAAATGTGCTTTGAAGAACTCTGATTGATTGATCTGAGTAAAAATGGTTAAGGGGGGATTTGTTTGACATCTTTATAATGATGGGAGGATTTAATGGGTTAGGGGAAACCAGCTCACCATTGCAGCCCAGAAAGGGTGGTGAGGGTGGGTGGCTCAGTGTCACAGCCCGCCTGCTGAGGAATGATATCAAGAAGCATGTCTTCACACTCACAAAACTCTTCCCTCTCACTATCCCCTCCCGCAAAAAAAAATATTGTGAGCCAGATTGATTCTTAGACCAGCTAATGTTTATCTGCCAAGGGTCACAGAACCATAGTGGAGTTAGAAAAACATATCGCCAATGATCTCACTGAGTGGCTATAAACATCCACAAATCAGTGTGTTCAGGGATGTTCTGATACTCCTCTGGAGCAGATGTCACTTGACCCAGAGGTAGGGACAACACAACTGTGCCACAAGAGCCCTGACTTCCTATGGTTGACAAATGAGAGTCACCAGAATCATAAGAACATAAGAAATAGGAGCAGGACTAGGCCATCTGACCCATCGAGCCTGCTCCACCATTCAGTAAGATCATGGCTGATCTTTTCACGGACTCAGCTCCACTTACCCGCCCGCTCACCGTAACCCTTAATTCCTTGACTGTTCGAACATCAATCTATCTTTGCCTTAAAAAACATTAAATGAGGTAGCTTCAGCGGGCAGCAAAATCCACAGATTCACAACCCTTTGGGTGAAGAAATTCCTCCTCAACTCAGTCCTAAATCTTCTCCCCCTTATTTTGAGGCTATGCCTCCTAGTCCTAGTTTCACCCGCCAGAGGGAACAACCTCCCTGCTTATCTCTTTTCGTGCAAGGACCATTCATTAATGGGATGAGGGTGTCACTGGCTCGGCAGCATTTATTGCCCATCCCTAATTGCCCAGAAAGTAATTAAGAGTCAACTACATTGGGGTGGGTCTGGAGTCACATGTAGTCCAGACCAGGTAAGGATGGCAGTTTCCTTCTCTAAAGGACATTCATGAACCAGATGGGTTTTTCCCAACAATCGACAGTGGATTCATGGTCATCATTAGATTCTTAATTCCAGATATTTTATTGAATTCAAATTTCATGTCTGCCATGGTGGGATTTGAACCTCTGCCCCCAGAATGTAATCTGGGTCTCTGGATTAACAGTCCAGCGATAGTACCACTGTGATAATTTCACTGTGCCTTCGTTGTGTTCAAAGGTACAAAGGTAACTTGGAAGAGGAATAATAAATACCTTATGTACATGTCGGATCCTTGGAAGAAGCTATTAACTAGAAGCTGTAACCTGATGCTTATTCGCTGGTCAGGGATCATTTCTTTCGAAAGTTCTTCACGTATAGCCACCATCCTGTTCAACAAATATAACATTGTTAAGAGCCTCCGGTTACAATTTTATTTATTTTACTTTCAGGACATCTCAGGAACTGCACAACAAATAGATCTTCTCAATACAAAGATTCTGACCTTCATCACTCATATAGGATGTGGTATCTCAGCCATTTTTTCAGCGACAACACTTTTAACATACGTGGCCTTTGAGTGAGTGAATATTTTTCAAAAACTCTTATCCAAGGAGATGTTTGGTTTGCCATCTTATTTACGCTTGTAGCTTTGGATTCCACAGGGGAAGAGCTAAAACAGCCAGAAACATTGATTCCTGCCTTCCCCTGTTGGATATCCATTCAGATCATCGTTTCTACCCAGTTCTCCTTGTATGCCTGGGACAGGTAAGAACAAAACCAGAAATGCTGGGGATGTTCAGGCTGGATGTAGTGACCTGAATGTTGAACCAGCTTAAATATGCTCAACAAAACTGAAAAAAAAACTGCGGGTGCTGTAAATTAGAAACAAAAACAGAAGTTGCTGGAAAAGCCCAGCAGGTCTGGCAGCATCTGTGAAGAGAAATCAGAGATAACATTTCAGGTTGAGTGACCCTTCCTCAGAACTGTTCTGAGGAAGGGTCACTCAACCCAAAATGTCAACTCTGGTTTCTATCCCCAGATGCTGCCAGACCTGCTTAGCTTTTCCAGCAATTTCTGTTTTCATTAAATGTACCCAAACCAGCTCAACAACCAACATCAGCATGCAGCAACAACCCTGACGCAGTGGAGACATCGAGCTAATTTTACTAGTCTGCAGATTGAAGGAGGAAAGGTAAACAGAGGGAGATGAGGAGTCCCACAGTATATTGGGGTCCTGGCATATGATGAGTGAGAGATACAATGACCTCAATCTCGAGAAACACAGCAAATATATACAGATAGAACTTGCATTCACATAGCATCTTTCACACGTGCAGCCTGCCCCAAAGCACTTTGCAGCTCGTGAAGTATTTTTTCAAGAGTTGCCACTATTGTATTGTAATGTGATGAATGTTTATAATAAGTTATTATTCCATTTAGGAATTTGGGAAGAAATTGGTTTTGGTAAATATTGTGATTTTCAGTTCTGCAACGATGTCTTTTTTAAGGGTCAGAAACAATTTTTTGGAAGTTGGTCAAAACAGCATTTCTAATGAATTGCATTACAAAAGCTAAATGACTAGACAAGCTACCTGGTGAGATGATTACTGAAATATTTTCTAAATTGAGGTAGAGGCCAAATACAGGATCAATTCAGAAGAACAGATCCACACTGTCAGATAAGTATTCAGTAGCCTTAAAGTATTCAAAATAATTGCTAAAAGCCTTGATGGTTTTTCTTAAAATTTACTGAGAAAGGTCAGTGATTAGACTCTCATGGAGGGGGGAGAGAGAGAGAGAGGCAGAGACAGAGAATCCCATCTTCTGGCCATGCTTGAAATCTGCTGAAAGGAAAAACTTGCAACCTCATCAGTTGAATAAGAAATTTTTAAAAAAAGGTAGAAGTGATACTATCTCATTGGGATTGAGTATCTGAAAAGGATATTGTTGCAAAAAAGGGTCGACTTTTTTTCCTGTTTGTGATAAGGTATTTCCAAATTTCCAATAGATAGCTCTGTTTTTCCTTTCTTTAGTGGAACAAACTTCCGTTCTTTTGTTGAAAGGGCATTGGCAACCTCTTGTAATTGTGTTCAGTGACTAACCACCATGATAAGTTGCAACTTATGATCTAACAAGCCAGGTTTCAGTCTGGAATCTGACTTGTCCAGTAAAACCTGATGTGATGTTGCCGGTCTTGGACTGGAGTGGACAAAGTCAGAAATCACATGACATCAGGTTATAGTCCAACAGGTTTATTTAAGATCACAAACACTGCCTTTTCATCAGGTGACATCCCTTCATCTGACAAAGGAGGAGCGCCCTGAGAGCTTGTGATTTCAAATAAACCTGTTGGATGAGAACCTGGTGTCATGTGACTTCTGACAGTATAACCATCAGTTAGGACCTTCACGGTAGGAACAAGAAGATCATGCAGAACAAACTTAAGTTCAATGTTTTTCTTGTCCATCATCTAGGAAGCTGCGACGGGATTACCCATCCAAGATTTTGATGAACCTCAGCACTGCACTTTTCCTTCTCAACCTAACGTTCCTGATTGATGGCTGGATTGCATCATTCAACATTCCTGGATTGTGCATTGCTGTTGCTGCATTCCTTCACTTCTTCCTGCTTGCCTCCTTCACCTGGATGGGATTGGAGGCTGTTCACATGTACATAGCCCTGGTGAAGGTCTTTAACACATACATACGAAAGTACATGCTCAAATTCTGTATCATTGGATGGGGTAAGTTCATTTGCCATTGACACTATTTGTGATACACTTTTCCCTTGTTTTCAACTGTTCTCAGACCATGGATAATGCCAGGAAGATTGGGTATAGTGTCCTCGATTTTCTAGGAATTACATAAGTGGTTAGTCAAACTATGTAATTAGCAATGACATTTCATAGGTAATCAAAAGTCAGAAGAGGGGTATATGTTGGGGGAAAGCCCTCTGCTGGTTGGAGTCATACCTGACACATAGGAAGATGATTGTGGTTGTGGGAGGTTAGTCATATCAGCTCCAGGACATCTCCGCAGGAATTCCTCAAGGGTAGTGTCCTGGGCCCAACCATCTTCAGCTGCTTCATCAATAACCTTCCCTCCATCATAAGGTCAGAAGTGGGGATGTTCACCAATAATTGCACAATGTTCAGCACCATTCGCAAATCCTCAGATACTGAAGCAGTGTATGTCCAATTGCAGCAAGACCTGGACAATATCCAGGCTTGGATGGGCAAGTGGGAGGTAACATTTGTACCACACAAATACCAGGCAATGACTATCACCAACAAATGAGAATCTAATCATCATCCCCTGACATTCAGCAATATCACCATCACTGTGATTAGGCTCAAGTTTACCTCAGTTCACAGAGGAAAAGCAGGAAAGCGGAGTTGACATTTACCAGATCAGCAGTGATCTCATTGAATAGCAGATCACCATCACTGAATGCTCCACTATCAAGATCCTGGGGGTTACTATTGATCAGAAATGTACTGGATTAGTCATACAAGTACAATGGCTACAAGACCAGGTCCGAGGTCAAGAATTCTAAGCTACCTCCTGACTCCCCAAAGCCTGTCCAACATCAACAAGGCACAAGTCAGGAGTGTTTGGAATACTCCCCACTTGCCTGGGTGGGTGCAGCTCCAACAACACTCAAGAAGCTTGGCACCATATCCACAAACATCCACTCTCTCCACCACTGACACTCAGTAGCAGCAGTGGGTACTATCTACAACATGTACTGTAGAAGTTCACCAAGGATCCTCAGACAGCACCTCCCAGACCCATGACCACTTCCACACAGAAGGACAGAGCAGCAACTTTATGGGAACACCAACCCCTGCAAGTTCCCCTCCAAATTGCTCACCATCCTGACTTGGAAATATACTGCTGTCAAAATCCTGGAATTTCCTCTCTAAGGGACATTGTGGGTCCACCCACAGCACATAGACTGCAGCAATCCAAGGAGGCAGCTCATTACCACCTTCTCAAGGGCAACTAGGGATGGGCAATAAATTTGACCCAGCCAACGATGCCCGCATCCCGTGAGTGAATTTAAAAGAATGAAAGTTAAAAGCAGTGAGTACGAGCACTTCCTTTTGATATCCAATGGCCATGCCATTGCTGAATTCCCATCATCAAAATCCTAGAGTCATTGCAGATCAGGAACTGAACTTGACTAGCCATGCAATTGCTGCTGTTACTAAAGTAGGTCAAGGGCTGGGTATTCGTTAGCAAGTAGTTCATTCCCTGATTTCCCAAAACCACTCAATTACCTACAAGGCCCAAGTCAGGAGTCCGATGGAATACTCTCCACTTGCCTGAATGAGTGCATGAGGACAAAACAGATTGCTTGATTGACACCTCATCCAGCACCTTCAACACATTCCCTCCACCACTGGAACAGTGGTAGCAGTGTGCACCATCTATAAGATGCACTGTAGCAACTCATCAAGGCTGTTTTATCCACATCTTCCAAAGCTTCAACCTCTACCACCTTGAAGGGGAATGATAGCAAATGCATGGGAACACCACCACTTCCAGACCCCTCCTAGGTTACACACCAGCTCAGCTTGGATTTTTATCAAATATTCCTTCATTATTGGTTGCTGCAACTCTTAAAATCCTTGACTTAGCAATACTCAGTGTGCACATTCACTTCACCCAGTGCAGTGGTTTAGAAGGCAGTTCATCTCCACTTTCTCAAGTGTGATATAGCACATGCTCTCTAGGCTGGCCAATGAGTGATGCCCGCATCCCCTCTCCTTGAAATCCACCCTTTGACACACCATTGTGGTGAGCTACTATCTTATCTGCAACCTCTGTTTCCATTCTAAAGGCCTTGAACACCTTGTTGCCTGCCGAAACCATGCTCATCATTGCTCTCCCAATGCCTGCACTCAGGCTTCTGCACTTGTCGCAATATCAGAATGATATCTCTTGTGACCATCATGTCCTTTCCCATCTGCCTCGATCTATTAGCTGCCTGTGTCATGGGTTGACTGTGTCATCTACTTCCAGAGCCTTTAATATGTTGTCCAGCTGGCACGCACTGCTTCTGCATTGTCTGTCTAACCACAGCCAGTTTACAGTGGCTTCTTTTCCTGCTTCGTCTGGTGTCCCCAAGGGCCTAGCCTTGACCACCTCCTATTTTAATTCAACACACTGACTCTTGGTAACCTCATTGAACAGCGTGGCATTAATTTTTGCCAACACCCACCTCTATCTCAAAAAAAAATCTCATCACTTTTCTCCGCTGATCAGATTGATGATCAGACATACTGGAGCAGCTGTGAAGAAATTTCCTCCAATGAGATATTGGGAAGACTAAAACTATTATTTTCAGTCCTCGCTGCAAACTCCTTTCCCTAGTTCCTGACTCCGTCCCTGTGCGTGCCAACCTTCTGGGATGAATCCAATTTGTCCACAACCTTGTTTTCACATTTGGTCCTGTGAGCAGCCTAATCTCAGACTGTCCATTTCTACCTCAGACTTCTTCTTTGCCTCAGCTCATCTGCTGTTGAAACACTCATCCATATCTTTGTTACCTTTAGAGTTGACAATTTCATGCACTTTCTACCTCCATAAACCTCAGGTCATCCAAAACCCCACTGCCTGTGTCTTTGTTTGTAACCAGTTTCATTCACCTGACCTACACTTGGTTGCCAGTCAAGTAACATCGTGAGTTTAAAATTCGCAGTCTTGCTTTGTTGGTCTCAACCCTCCCTAATCTCCTCCAATCCCAAACTTCTGAGATGTCTGCACTCCGCAAATCCTGGCCTTTTGCATTCCCACATTTGGTGACCATGCCTTCAGTTATCTCAGCCTCAGACTCCCTTCTTACACCTCTCTGCCTCTCCACCCCACTCATTTTAATGAGGACTCAATGGGAAAAAAATACCTCTTTCGTCCAGCTTTTGGTCATCTCAGCCCCAGATGTAGCTCAATGATCTAATCCTCCTGTGAAATATTTCATTTATGTTAAAGAGTCTGTAGGTAGGATGTGACTGGGGAGGTGATGGCCTTGTGGTTATTATCGCTGGACTGTTAATCCAGAGACCCAGATAATGTTCGGGGGAGCTGGATTTGAATCCCACCATGGCAAGATGGTGAATTTGAATACAATAAAAAAATCTGGAATTAAGAGTCTACTGATGACCCTGAAACCATTGTTGATTGTTGGGAAAAGCTCATGTGGTTCACTAATGTCCTTTAGGGAAGGAAACTGCCATCCTTACCTGGTCTGGCCTACAAATGACTCCAGACCCACAGCAATATGGTTGACTTTTAACTGCTCTCTGGGATGGGCAATAATTGCTGGCATAGCTAGTGATGCTCTCACCCCAATAAACAAATAAAAAGAAAACTGGAGAGGGTGCTGAAGAGATTCACCAGGATATTACCTAGGATAGAGTGATTCAGCTATGATGAGAGACTGGATAGGCTAAGATTGTTTTCCTTAGAGCAGAAAATGCGAGTGGAGTTACCTGAATGTGATGGTCAAAATTCTGAGGAACATTCACATGATGGATAAAGGGAACCTTTTCTCCTTCGTGGAGGGGTCAAGAAGGGTTGGATGGTATAGTTTCAAGGTAAGAAGTAGGAGGGTTAGAGGGAATTTGGGAAAATACTTTTCATCCAAAATGTGGTGGGTATTTGGAACTCACCGCCAAAGGATAATAAAGACGGGAAGACTAAGAATGTTTAAGAATTATTTTAATAAATACTTGGAACACCACGGCTCATAAGACTAGGGTCCGGTGCTGGAAAACAGATGAATATTTGATGACTAGTATGGACTTGGTGGGCTGAAGGGCCTCTTTCCCTGCTGTAAAAATTCTATGACTCTGTCTAGATATGAATCATTGTTGAGAATGTAAGAAGCAGTGCTACATTGATATGGGTCATGGAATGCACTCTGTGCTGAGGCTTTGGTGGAGAGATGCACACACTTCACATGGCACTTTTACTCTTCCGAGTTGTTTGTTCTGGAGGATATTTCTCACAAAAAAAAAGCGTTGGGGAAGGGTGCTAGCATGGGGTAGGTGTTAATGCATTTTTCTCCCAGCAGTCTTTATCCTCCGCACTTTGTCTGCCCCACAGGTTTACCGGCAGTCGTGGTGGCAGTTGTTCTAGCAATCGATGAGGAGTTCTACGGGGTGAAGCTGTACGGGGAAGAATTGGAAAACGGAGGCTCTGAGTTGTAAGTTATGCAAGTTTACCCGAAGGAAGTAGGGGTGGAAGGGAAAGTGACTGAGTGGTCAGCCTGTGCGAAGAGGTGTCACTGGCACAAAGGGCTCAATAGTCTCCATCTAGGAGCTGTAGGATTTGATTAAGCCCTTAATCAGGGATAGTGGCATTGGAGTTTCCACTCAGTAGCGCATTTCATAAAGAAACACAAGATACAGAGCAGATGTAGTCCATTCAGCTCATTTGCGGCAGTGGTGGATCTCTGATAGAGTAATCAATGTGATAGCTCCCGCTCCATAACTCTGCAGTTTTCCACCCCGATGAGCATTGAGCCAATTCATTTTTGAAAGTTTGTTTTGGAATTTGATTTCTTTCCCCACCACGACCAAACTTCCCGCAAAATGTGTTCCAGATCGCAATTCAGTGAGTCAAGAAATTATTTTCATATGTCGCCTCTGAATCATCTATGAAGCATCTTTAAATAATGTTTGCCATCCTATCATGCAATACACTTCGACAGATGAAGGCATTTTTCAAGATCTAAAGAAGCTTTGATTTGATTTGATTTATTACTGTCACATGTAGCAAGTTACAGTGAAAAGTGTTGTCTTGCGTGCTTTACAGACAGCTCGTACTATACAAGTGCATCAGGGTAACAGCACAGAGTGCAGGATACAGCTGCCGAGAAGGTGCAGAGAGAGATGTACTTTAACATTAAAGAGGTCCATTCTAAAGTCTGATAACAGTGAGGAAGAAGCTGTTTTTGAATTTGTTCATGAGTGCATACAAACTTTCATATCTCCTGCCCGATGGAAGATGGTGGAAGAGCGTATAACTGGGGTGGAAGGGGTCTTTGATTATGTTGGAAAAGCTCAGCAGGTCTGGCAGCATCTGTGAAAAAAAAAATCAGAGTCAACGTTTCGGGTCCGCTTCTGAGGAAGGGTCACCGGACCCCAAACGTTAACTCTGATTTTTTTCTTCACAGATGCTGCCAGACCTGCTGAGCCTTTCCAGCAACTTCTGTCTTTGTTCCTGATTTACAGCATCTGCAGTTCTTTCTTTGATGTTGGTTGCTTTCCTGAGGTAGCAGGAAGTATAGATGCAGCCAGTGGAAGGAAGGCTGGTTTGTGTGATGGACTGGGCTGTGTTCACA